TAGTTGCCATACCCCCCAAATGAAGCACGAGTGCTGGAATACTGCCAGGTCGCCCAATTCTAGACAGGAGAGGTCAGGTTCGAACCACGTACCCTCCAGTCAGTAGATTCGCGCTCTAACCACAGCCATCTGCAATGAATTCATACACTGCATGGTCAGTGTGAGTAAATGTAACCCGTGAAGGTATGGAACTTATTAGTCCATCGTTTCGTGGAATCTAGTGAGTGATGGTCAGCATCAAAAACCGTGGGTCGCTGAATATGATCCATTTCTTTATTACACGATTAAATTGGTAATGTGTTGAAATATTGGTTGCTCGGGTGAGTTTATTGGTTGTTGATCAGGTGGCTGTTAATCTGTTCGCCGAGCCTGGCAATCGGCTTGCAAACGCTTCATCACCAAACGGGGAGATTTCATCGCCCACCCAACTGCGCACTAATGATGTCTCCTCGTTTTGTGACGAAACGTTTGCAAGCCAATTGCCAAGCTCGGCAAACAGATCAACAGCCACCTGGTCAACAACCGATAGACGATTAAGTTCTTGCGAGAGTCGAATGGTTCTGGATCGAGATTAGAAGGTAGACGGAATAGAAGTGCGTGACGTACGCTTTACTAGTCTAATAACGGTAGTGCGTGAGATGAGAATATGGAGTGAAAATTATTAGTTAATGATACACGAAAAGTATGGTTTACATAGCCGTGACGCAGGTGCGTTCGCATTATTGCGTGGTAGGTATCAGGTTGTTGTCCCAGGAACAATGCAATTAATCCCTCATTGGCTTGCTAGGTCACCGAATTCTAATCCAGTAGATATTTTGGGCACATGAATCCTAGGATTTATGGCTAGATATCTTAGGCAACCGATCGCCTACTTTTGGGTGGATTTTTACCGGATAATCCTTCATCTGTATCCGCGACAAGCATTTGTCTTCCTGGTCGCTTTGAATGTTCGTAGTTGCACTTAACTCGTCGTACTATTAATTTAAAGGTTTCCTGAAAATTGAGGTAAGAAGCGTACCTGCTTCCCGTCATACATGTGTCGAAGCCTACTAAAGCATTTTTTCGCGTCTCGTTCAGTCTGCTACGTATAGTCGGCGAACTTGCTGCGAAACTGAATTGGCTGCTGTGTGTCTGGATACACTGTATCCGCCTTGTTCTGTTCAGATGCCTTCCATCGATGTTCATCTTATCTCCCTAGTGCATCATTTGTGGTCGGAGCAATTCGTGACATGGTATTTGTTGGTTCTGATGGAAAAACTGATTCACACCATCTAAACTGAAGGCTTCTGTGTTGCCATCTGGAATAGGCATTACACACATTTGGTGTGTGGCTACCCGTGGAACTGACGTTTGCTTAATGTATTAATTATGGACCGCATGAGAGACCAAACAGTGTCTAGCCGGACAAAGTATGATTTGGTCCGCATTTCTTTCATTTTTCTAGCTAACAACAAAGGTGATATCGAATGGATTTGCGGGTCCAATCAATCTTTCTAACAGTTCTTCGTTTTCTACGCTATGCTTAACTCAATGGTCTGCCTGTCAATATTTAATGATTGAAACTGTTGTGTGTGTGTGGCAGAGTACGCAACTGAGAAAACCGCGATAGAGTAGAATATTAATTCTTCAACAGATGGGCAAAACACGAACTCAGTTCCGATCGGACAAGTCAAGCAGATGGAATCGTTCGCTACCGTTCATAGCCATGTGAATCGTCAAGCCGAAAGGCTCTCTCCAGTTTCTTCACCTTTGCACCCACTGATGAATCTGTCAGTCATTTTTTCCTGTTAAACCTAGTGTCCATCTAACTCGGATAAGCGACACTGTTAAACCCAAGTACTCGAATTGCACAACTTGAAACTGCCCCATTTCCCCAATATTCACGCGTGTCGGTCGGTCTTCTGCCTTGTTTGGATCAGGATTCTTTTTGTGTGGCTTAATCCGAGCGAGAATGTGAGTCGTGTTGCTTTTTGCCAATTTTTCACGCACTCATAACAACACCTTGAAATTAGCTGGTGGAGTTACTCATGCACTTGAGAATAGGCGATGAATGCGCTCATGTTAGTGTATCCGTTCATTATGTGTCCCGATAACTGGGTCAACGCCTCTTTTTGTGTAGATCCATGTCCCGTGTCGAGTCTATGCTCTGTCCGTTGGATACAGCTTTCATATCAGAGTGGCATGGCTAAAAGGGCATTTCAAAAATAATATGTAGGCGTCTTGAGAAATCACCACATCATCATCAGCACAGAGAGACTTGGAATCTAAAAACACGA